ATAAAATATTAATATTTTTAAAATTAAAAAAATTAATATAATTAATATAGTTGGTATTTTTTTATTAACGGTTAATATATTAACTATTAATATTGTTTTTGTAAAAGTTAATGCGTTTATATTTAAAGTTAATATATTTAAAATTAATTTATTTAATTTTAATATTTTTTTTATTAATTATAATATATAATTATATAATAATTTTATATTAATGGTAAATAAATATTAAATTAATTGTTTATTAAAAAAAAGGTATATTTAATTAATTTATTAAGTAATAAAGTTTATATAATTAATTTATTAAAAGTAAAAATTTTTATAATTAATTTATTAAAAATGGAAATTTATATAATCCTTTTATTAAATAATATAAAAATAATTATCGAAACGTTTTAAATAATAATTTTTTATATAATATATATTTATGTTTTACTTTTAAATATAATATTAATTTTTTTATATAATTTAATAAATTATTTATTATTTAATTATTTTTTTATTATATTATTAATTTTCTTTATTAATTGGTAATTTTATAAATTATATTAATAAATTTAAATATGTTTTTATTATTAGTTAATTTAATATTATTAATATTTTTATTAATATAATAAATTTATTTGTTTTTTTTTTAATTATATAAAATATTTTAAATTTAATATTAAAATAAATTTAAATTAATATTTATTTATTATTTTTAATACTTTTTATTTCGGATATATTAAAAGAATTTTGGCATTTAATATATTATATAATTTTTAAACGTTTATATTATTTTTAAGTATATAAATTTTATATTTTACAAAATATTTTTTATATATATTTTTTAAATTATATTAAATTTTTTTAAATATTATTATATTTTAACCGTTAAAATTTATTTAAAATTTATTTTAAAGATTTTTATTACATTTATTATTATTATATATGTTAAATCTTTTTATATAATATATATTTAAAATTTTTATAATTATTTATTTAATTTAATTTATATTAATGTTAATATTTTTAAAGTTATTATATATATATTTTTTTAATTATAATGTTTTTTTTTAGTGTTATTATTTTAAATTACGATAAAATTTTAATAAAGTTTTCATTATTATTTTATAATTAATTTATAAATTAATTATTAATTAATGTTAAAATAATAATAATATTATTATATATTATGTAATATAAAAAGTAAAAAATAATAAAGTAATTTAAATAAAATGATTTAATTAATTATATTTAATTAAATAAAAAAAATGGAAAATTTATTAAATAAAAAATATTTATTTATATATATTTATATATGTTAATTTTAAAACGGTGTATATAAATATAACTTTAATTATATAATATAATTATATAACCGGTGTTTTATTATATTATAATTTAATTATTTATTTTATATTATATAACCGTTTTAAAATACATTTATTAAAATAAAAATATATTTTATAAATATATTATTTAATTTAAATTAATTTAATATTTTAAATTTAAATAAAATTTATTTTTAACGTTTTATTTAAAACATTATTATCCGGGTTATGTTTTAATTAATAACCGGGTTATATTTCATTTTTTTCAAGATCACGTGATGCGTTTTTTACATCTTTCGGCCAATTAATTTACACCATTTTAACTTTTAAACTTATACATATATTTTTACATACATATTTATCTTTTAATTTAAATAACTTTTTTAATATAAATTTTTTTTTAAAACATATATCGTTAAATAACACGTAAAATTAAAAAAATTATAATTTTAATTATATCATTTTAACTAATTTATTTAATTTATAAAAAATAATAAAATTATGTATAATATTTTAAAACTTTAACCGTATTATTATATATTAACAATTGTAAAATATTTATTTATACATATAAAATCGAATTAAATGGTTAATATAATATAATCGGTATTATTTTTTTTTTTTATAAATTATTTAATAATATATGTTTTAAAAAAACAATAATTATATTAAAAAAGTTATTTAAATTAAAAAATAAATATATTAACATTAATATATGCATTAATGTATATAAATGTACGTATTAAAGTACATATTTATTTAAATCGTTTTTAAATGTTTAATTAATTAACAAAATATAAAAGCGTATTACGTAATCTCGAAAAAAATAAAACATAACCCGGTTATTAATTAAAACATAACCCGGATAATAATACTTTTTAAAAAATTTAAAAAATTTTATTAATAATAAATTTAATATTTTTAAATTTATTAAAAATAATAAAAAATATTTTTTTATGTTTAATAAATTGTTTATTATTTAAATATTTTATTATACGTTAATTAAAAACGTTTTTAGTTTTTTTAATTTAAAATTTATTATTATTTAAAATAATTATTTAATATTTATACCAAATATTAAATTAATTATAAAAATTAAAAAGTTTAAAAATAATTTAATTAATTATATTTTTATTACGGTTATTAAATTGTATTTAATTAATAATAATTAAGATTTAATTTAATATTATAATTTAAATAAAAAAAATGTTAATTTTTATTTTATTTTATATACGGTTATAAATTTTAAAAATTAAAATAATTAAATCAATATATATTTTTTTATATTTTAATATCGGTAAATTCTTTTTTTAATTATAATTTTTAAAATTATTAATAAGTTTAAATATTTTGTTATTAAAATTGTAATAGTTAAAAAATAATTAATTTTAAAGTTTTATAAAATTTTGGTAATAAGTTTAAAAAAGAAAAATACAAAAAGTTAAAATTAAATAATTTAATTTATAATAAAATTTAAATATTATAACAATTAATATGTTTATATTTGTAAAATTATTAATTAAAATTTTTATGTTAATAATATTTTACAATTTTACATTTATATTATTAAAGTTTATTAAAAATATTTTAAATTAAATATATATATAATAATATTTTATTTAATTATAAAAGTTTAATTATAATAATTGGTTATATTATTTTTATATAAAATATAAAATTTTAATTAACCGATAATTATTATAAAAAGGTTTTTTTAAAAAAATTATATTTAATTAAAATTATAATAATAATAAATTATAAAAAGGTTATAATTAAAATAAATAATAAAAAAGTTAATTTTATATTAATAAATATTATAAGTATTTGTTTAATCGCAAGTAATTTTTCAAAATTAAATTAAATATTTTAAAATATATTAAAATAAGGTATATTTGGTCTTAATATTTTACAAATATTATAGTTATAATAGATTTACGTATCATTTATATAACATTAGGCCATATCTGCGGATATAGCGCATACAGTCATAAGGCAATGCCCGAACTGCCCCTTGGATGTATGTAGATTTTTGTCACTGGAGTAAAGCCCCATGTGCACCTTGGGAAAGTTGTAAGAACAACTTCTCAGGTTGTAGGTGAACCCAGAAGGTTTAGTGTACTGCGGGTTGGAATCCCTGCTTCCCAGTATCTTAGAAATTTGTCACAGGGTAGAACCAAACAGTATGGAAATTACATCGTTATTTTACAAGGAACCTTGACCTAATTAGGGGTGTTTATTCCTTTGTTCTAGATGTTTTATCTAAAATCCCGAGAAAACTTGAATCTATGGCCCACAATGTTCTAGGCGTAACCTCGACGTTGTTCAAAGCATATCTTAATGTTTTACGGGAATGCAAATCCATACATACATCTGTCTTGCACAAGATAACCCCGAATGCCTTTGTGGACGACTTATACGTGTCTATGTACAGTGATAAGTCCTAGAGCGAGTACTCGGATTTCGAATGCTTTGACTCAGCCGCAGGTCTTGTTATTTTTAAGGGAGGATATGTAGAGACAACATTCATATCAGACAATATGGGCGACTCTGACATGTTGAATGATCTGGAGTACTCGTACATAGATGGGCTTTGTCCAGACTCACTATCTAGTTGTGTAGATGAAGTAAGGCTTGGTTCCATGTCAACTTCAGCCTTCGACATTAATGACGAAGTCTACATCAATGGAGACCTTGACATAGGTCTAGGACTAGACGTAGAACTAATAGCAGGATTCCCTAACATACTAACGTTCTGGTGGACAATGGCGGAGACCTGAGCCCTCCAGAAATTTAATCTGGATACTCGGAAGGTTTAACACACTTGTGGGCTTTTACCCATATCTGCAATATACTCTAAAACCGACTCAAGGAAAATAAAGTCCATAGAGTTATCTCTTACTGAGAATATGGAATACGTATCTAGTCTCCAAGGAAGGTACTGAACTTACGAGGTTTAGCTCTGGTTCTTACATGGAGGCTGAAAGTACAGTTGAGGTGACGTTCAGAATATCTCACTCAAAGATAGAAGCTAAGGCCTTTTTTAGGAGACTCGACAAAGTCTGCCATCAATCCATCGAGTTGGCAATTCGTTCTTCGAGAGTGACTCGGACTCCATGTTCATAAACACAGTATAAATGCTTAGATGGATATAAGGTCTGGTTCAGGACAGTCTAGTGATGGTTTGGACAGAATGATAGGATGCTCCTTTATCCTTACAGAGCCTGATGTGGAAGCATGTCGAAAGCTATCTAGAAGGCTTCAATGCACGAGGATTTCTATACCTGAGAAGTATCACGCAGTGACCAACCCCTTACCAATAAAGGTAAACGGCATCTAACCCTACGATGTTAGATTCGAAGACGTATTGTAATCACAGCTCAAGATCGATCTCGGAATTTCACCAGACATAGGTATAACCCAAAGCGGATAGCCTTGTTCCTCTATTGGTAAGTACGTACGAGTACGTACTCGTAAGTGCGCTGAAGCTGCTATAAGACCTGCAACCCCCTAAACGTGCATCTTGAAGTACCTACAGCTTCGCTTAGCCCCCACCCTCGTGATAATATTTGCAAGTCTGCCCACAGTTCTTTTTCTTTTTTCCCACAACAACAACTCTTCCAACAACGTCCCCATCATAACCATCATCACAATAACCATACCCCCCGTTCCCCCCCTTTATCACGCGTCAAAATGCCGGAGAAGGAGGGAGACCGCGTCGTTTACCCCGACAAACCTCGTCCCGTGTCTAGCCTCAGCGCGTCTCTCGACGAGATTATCAAAAATAGTAAGAAGAAGAGGAAGAGAGACGATGACGACAACGAGGAGAGCGGCAGCGGCGACAAGAATAACGCCAATGCCAAAGCCAACGACAAGACCAGCAACGCCCTGGTTCTTGGCCCGGCTGAGGCCCCAGCAGCGAAGCGCCACGCTGCCACTGTCCAGTCGGTCAGCATGTCGGAAGTGGGCCGACAAGTTCGCAACGGAGTCGCTACCGACCTGTGGCTCCGCGACGATCCAGAAGACCGAACGACCAACTTCAATACTTTCGGCGGCAGAACAACCACCGCCGCAGTTACTAGCAAGGATGAATATCACATCACTAGCGAGGAGGCGTACCATCGCGTCACCACCAACATCCTCGAAAGCCACCTCCGAGCCAACAACAACGTCTTTAAGCCCATGGGGATTATGACGTTCGACTTGCGAGCACAGAGGCTCGCGAGACTCAACGCGAGGCTTCCCGTTAGGGAGTTGGTAAAACTTCACCGTGCTCGGGATGAGAAGAAGGCCGCAATTGCCGGAGCAGCGCCGCAGGAGAGTAGCGGCAACGCCAGCTCCAAGCCCGACACCGATACCGGCACCGGCACTAAGCAAAACCAGAAGACGGCCGAGGAGCTCGATAATGAAATATATGAGTACTTGAACGCCTAACGACGAGTAGATTAGTTATCAACGTCTTTGCTTTTGCTTTAGGAATGGAATCGAGTCTCCTTGACTCAAGCTTCGCGTCGCGCTGAAAACCGAAAAGGAGAAAAAGGATAGCACGACAAGTGTCTAATGTTAGTAGCTATAGATAGTTTAGGGGGGGACCATGCAATGAACGATTTGCCAACCCAAGTCTGAGTCTCACTAATTCGTAATTTATAATCTGCCCGTATCCCGTAGTAGAGCCTGGCGACACTCAAGTATGTTGTGTTTCTCCTTATAAACTTCTTCCAGCTTAGACGCGGATAGGGTCTTCAAGGCGTAGGTACAAGTATTGGACGATATATATGTTGTAAGTATATGATACCTAGGTACGTACTTCTCGACATAGGAAGATGTGGTTGGGCTGGTTTTAAAATCTGGCCCACCTGCGTACCAATTCCACTGTACGTAGTTTGATAAGCAACTGTTTCCTCTCCTCACGTTTTTTTATTTTGACGTCTCCTTGACCTTTACAACATTTATAGCAGTTACGATACCTGTCAAATATTATGGATTCCGAAGAGGTGCGTGCCGGCGTCTGCGCGGAGACACCCGTCTGCGACAGGTTTGCCAAGCAGATCGTAGAAAGCCTGGACAACGGCGCCGCGCTCGACAGCGTATTCCCGATGGTAGTTGATATGGCAAAAGAGTGGCGCCAGCAGAGCGCCGTCCCCAGCAGCAAGACCGTCGAAGCCTTCGAAGACAAGGGAGGGGAAGCCTACAACGACCTTCGCATCCTATTTCATACCCTAGATAGGAAGACTCTCCGATCCCTTCTCCTGGGAACGCTGCCACACGACTTATACGATAAGGACTCGCCCAACTGGGAAAATATTTACAGGCAGAACGGACCCGGAACCTACGTAGTGGGCATCTCGATCGAGGATCGCCGCGGGTCCTTCTTAAGTCGCAACGAGATCGAGCAGATTATCGGTTGCCTACGAGACTACAAAACCGCCTGGGAGGCTTGGGACGAAATAAAGGACGCGTTCAGCCAAGACCAGCTGTCCCGCGCACAGAAGTCGGCCCTGAACAAAGCTCTCGCCATCGACAACGTGATGCTTTTCGATAAGGATAAGTGGCAAGTAGGAGACGACTATACCCAACCCAGATGCTCAAAGGGAAAGATTGGCAATCTGGACGAGCTCATAGCTATGCTCGGCAGGCGCACGGACGCAAGTTTTGACGGGGAAGTCCACCAGCTCTCGTGTCCTGTTTATGTCGGGTGCGGTTGTCGAGTTCCTTCGAGGTTGCTGCAGCACAATCCCGACTACAGCAACATGTCAGGGTCATCCAACACCCTGAAGCTGTTAGTATCCTGCATACGCTACATAGGGCTTAAACCGATCGTTCACACTATCCCTATGGTCATGGTGTGGGAGGAGTCCCAGATCCCGCTAGCCGAGATGCTGGTGACGGTGCTCGCACAGTCGCTAGTCACGATCAACGGCCTCAACGTCGCCCAGCCCGGAACATCGTCAACATTAATCGATGACAACAAGACTATATACTTTGAAACTAAGAAGCACGTCTGGATCGATCGCCCGTGGTTCATGACGAATATCGAGGAGTCCCTAGCCGTCCGAACGAATAGGGATATATATTGCAACGCCCTAAAAAAGATAGGAAGCTTCATGTCGGAGGCCGAGCTGAGGGAAATTATCGCAAAAGGCGACGAGCTGAAAAAGAAGGTTAAGGATTTTGAAGTTAAAATATACGAGATGTTAAAAGCGTCTGCGGTCGAGCAAAAGGAAATGGAGCAGAAACTTGTTGAGTTGGACCGGATTTTCGAAGACTGAAAAGTATTGTCACGTAGCCGATACGTAGTATTAGGACGTTAGAATGAATCAATATCGATGAAATTCCCGATTAAGTCCCTAAACTTGTCTTGAGCGTCGGTCTGGCTTTAAGAAAGCTATCAGCGTAATAATGGGATGTTGGCGGTTTATTCGGATGTAAAGTCAAGCGAGGCAGTTGAGCGACACACATCATAACGACCCCATACAAACTGCAACTCCTTTTCCGCCTCCGCGATCTTGTCTTGCAACGCTTAAGACTTATTCAGGTCTTAAGACAGGGCCTTGACTCGTTGCTGCGAATTGGTAAACAACTTAGAAAACGGCTTGCTGTTGGTTTCGACGTTTTTACGCGCGGATGTGTTGGTTTGATCCTGACCCGGGCCGGGTCACCGCAATATTGACACCGATCGACGTTGTAGATGCAGGCGGATCTAATAAGCATGATTGCGGAATTGTTCCGGATTAATTTGAGTGTTGCTATGCTGCCCCCTATTTTCGTGTTGACTTTTACATGAACCAACGATATTTCGAGACTCAAGACGTATCTCCACAGATGCAGTATAATGCATGTCAAGTAAACCAGCAAAGTATAGTAAAAGTAAGGTAAATACGGTAAAAGTAAGGTAAAAATACGGTAAAAATATAAAAAATAACCGTTTAATAATATATAAAATATTAAAAAACTTTTAAATAAAAGTTTTTATAAAAAAATACGTTTAAAAAGATTTAACATGTTTTTTATTAAATTAAAACGTTAATATAAAAAAAAATAAAATGTTATTTTAAAAGATTAAAAAAATAGTTTTTTTTATATAAGTTAAAAATTTTATTTTATTTTAATTTTAAATATTTAATATTTGATTTTTTAAATATTTTTTTAAATTATTTAATATAATTTTTTTTAAATTTTCATAAAAATATATTATTATTTAAATTTATAAAAATAACTACGGTTAAATTAATAAACATTTTAAATTTTACCTTTTATAAACGTTTATTTTTTTATAATAATATAATAAGTTTAAAAGTAAGTATAATAAATAAAATATTAATTTATAATTTAAAAACATTTTTTTATTATTAAAAATTAAACTTTTTTATTATAAATATTTTTAATATTTTTATTAAATAAATTAATTTAAAAACTATATTTATTATTAATTAAATTTATTTATTTAATAAAAATAATATTTTTTAATTTAATTATAATTTTTATTTTATTATAAAATAAATATTTTTTTTATTTTTTTTAAAATAACGTTATAAATTTAATATTAAAAATAAATAATTTATTAATAAATTTTATAAATTAAATTAAATATATTAAATTTAAAACTTATTTAATTATATTATTAATTTAATTTGTATATTTTTATAAAACCATATTTAATTACATTTAATTATATTAATTATATAATATATTTTATTTAAAATTAAATTTCTTTTTTATGTTTAATTTAAATAAATATTTTTAAAAAAATATTTACTTAAATTAAATTAAATTATTATTTAATTTATAAAATTTATTATAATTTACACTATTATTTTATAATTAAATTAAATTAAAAATTATAAATAATCTTTATTAAAACATATTTAAAAAACTTAATATTAAATTAAAATTTAATTTAATTAATAAAAAAAATTTAAATATTTATTTAAATAAAAAATATATTTTTTTTATTTTATAATTATTACTTTTTAATAAACTTACTTAATAAACACAATTAAACCTTATTTTTTTAACTAATATTTCGTTAAAATATTATTTATATTTTTATAATATTTCCAACAATACTTCTTAATTTTTATTTTAAATATTTTTTTAATTTAAATATTTTACATATTTTTATAAATTTTAATATTAATATCGATTAAATTTAAAAAAATAAACTTTTTAAACCTTAATTTACTTTAAATTAATTTACATTTTTTTAATAATTAATAAATAAATTAATAAAATAAATATAATATTTTATATTTACATTTTTATATAAATTACCGTTTTATAATTAATTATAATTTTTTTTTATTTTTTAATTATTTTTATTTTACTTTTTTAATAATTTAAACAAAATAAAATAAAAATATATTACTTTAAACTTTTAAATTTATTTCCGATTTAAATTTAAATTTAATTTTAAACAATATTTTATATTTTTACTTTTATATATTACTTTTATTTTTTTATTTATTTTTTTAAATGTTTTATTTAATTTAATAATTTAATAATTTTTTTTATAAACTTTAAAAAATTATCATTATTTACGTAACCACTTTTTAATATTAATTTAAATCATTAATAATATTTTTTATACCTTTATATATTAAATTAAAAAAAAAACAATTTTTAATACTTTTATATTAACTATTATTTTTACTTTTTACAATATCGTTATTTTTTATTTAATAAATTAAAACTTTTAAATTAAATGAAAATATTTAATTAATAAAACTTATATAATAATAAAAAATTATTAAAACAATTTTTTACATAATTAAATTAATTAATATTATTAAAACATTATAACTTTTAACATTTTTAAATAATAAGTTTTATAAATTAAATAATAATTTAATTTAATTTAACTTAAATAAATCTTTTTTTAAAATATTTATTTAAATTAAACTTAAATTCTTTTTTAATACTTTATTAATTATTAATATATAATTAAATATAATTTTATAAAAATATATAAATTAAATTAATAATATAATTAAATAAATTTAATATTTAATTTAATTTATATTAAATTAAATATATATAATTATTTAATTTAATTTATTTTATAAAATTTATTAATTATAAATTTTATTAAAGATTTTTACGTAATTTATTATTTAAAAAAATTAAAAATATATTATATTTTAAATTATAAAAATATTTTATTAAACCATTAATTTTAAACCATATATAATTTAATTATTAAAACTTTTAATTTATTATATTAAAATTAATTGTTATACGTAATTTATATTTAAATCTTTTAAATTTATTTAATATATTTAACGTATTTAATTTATTAAATATATTTATAATATTTAATGTATTTAATATATTTAATTTAATTAATACATTTAATATATTTAATATATTTAATATATTTAATATATTTAATTTAATTAATACATTTAATGTATTTAATATATTTAATATATTTAATATATTTAATATATTGCATTTATTTAATTTATTTAATGTATTTAATATATTTTATTTATTTTATTTATTTTATTTATTTTATTTATTTTATTTATTTAATGTATTTAATGTATTTAATGTATTTAATGTATTTAATGTATTTAATGTATTTAATGTATTTTATTTATTTTATTTATTTTATTTATTTTATTTATTTTATTTATTTTATTTATTTTATTTATTTTATTTATTTTATTTATTTTATTTATTT